CCCGCCCGGTGCCCCTGGTCTGCTGGAGACGGTCTCCAGCAGACCAGGGGCACCGGAGCAGCTTACGAACGGGGCTTTCTCGCCCCGACCTCCGGGGTGAGAAAGCCCCGTTCGTAAGTGCGGATCCGACATAAGTCGGATCCGCATAAGTCGGGGACTGCCTGTATGTTAATGTTGATTGTAGGTATGCAGATCAAGGTGCTAGTCAGATGGGCCTAAGTTTAACAGGAAAAGGAACATTAGGTGTTAGGCAGAAAGCAATTCCAGATAATCAGGGAGATATAGACAAGAGATTGCTGTGTGCTTGATATTGAAATGAAGATACTTAACCACACTGATAATGTGAAGTTTTGCCCCTCTTTTGATCCTGTTAACTTGGCCTTTTGACTGTATAAATCAAGGGGTTTGAACCTTGTATGGGGCTCACATTTTCTGGATGCATTTTAGCAGAGCTTTGCTGAAATAAACAGAGCGGTCTGACAAATCTGTGAGTCCTGTCTGACTTTGACAGGGCTCAGATTCCCTTCAGCATTGGGAAGCCCATGCAGGCACTCCAGCTCCCCCACAATCCTCCCACAGGGCTGGAGCACACAAGATCTACTAACATGGGTCCCCCTAAGTTCTAGTATGCAAGAGTGCCTTCCTCTCTCAGTCAATTTTTGTTTTTCCTTTGCTTCTCACTTGTATGCGGCCCCCAACTGATTTTCCTGTGGGTCAGCAGCCCCCAAACCAAAAAAGGTTCCCTACCCCAGTTTAACGCCATCACAATATACCATGTATAAGATGTCTAACAAACACGCATGTATCACGCAGCAAAGTTTGGTGTTTTACTATTAAAGTATACATTTCTCTTAGTATTAGACTTATACAGACACTAAACCTCAGACCAACTATTTTCAAAAAGGCAATTTGAAAAGAGAAGTGTTTGTTTCTCACGACAAACCTATGTTTAGCATCATGATCCACAGGCACTGTGCAACGTTTAAGCAACTGTAAGACAAATTTGAAATTTACCCTTGTATAATTAAAACACTTTTCTACACAGATCTTTGAAGAATCCTTTACAAGAACCAAACCTATAGCACAGCCATAAACGTACCACTACAACAATAAAAATTATACATCTGCTTCAGGCATGACTGATTTCAAATGTGATCGTCTTTGTAAAAGTTACTATAAAAATAGCTGTTAGTCAGTTTTCTCAACCATGCCCTCTAAAAGAATATGGCACTTTAGGTAACATTTTATTTGAAATATAAAAATGGTTACACCAGTAAATTTGATAAGTTGTTCCTGTCTCAACAAAGCACCAGCTTTTCATAGTGCTATTTATGAGTAGATGTGGAGGAAAGAGAAACAAAAACAAAGTGGAGACTGAAGAATTAAAATGGAATAGGGAGAAGTGTGAGGACAGAAAGATGAATGAGCACAAGTGGAATAAGAAAGTAAGGCCTACACAGAATGACTTAATGTTTACTTTGTGAATCGTTGTACTGCAAAAAGTAACATTTTCTGTTTAATACATACATTTGAGCCAGACTTGCTTTCAGTTTGTGCTATTGAAAACTACTATTTCACTCTACTCCCACAATCACCATCATGACTGAGACACAGGTAAACATATTTCCACCTACCAAAACTTGACTCTGCAAGGTTTCTACCAACTTACTTTTCAGCATTAGAAGAGTCATCAGAGAATTCAGTTTCTGCTGAACTTTTCCTACTGCTGTTTGATCTCCAAGAAGAGGCTAAGGGAAGTTCCTCAGAAGACATAGGCCTTGGTCTTTGCCCAATACCTGAAGGTTGCTGTAAGCCTGCAGACTGCTCTTCGGTACTTAAAACAGCTATAATTGCTCTTATAGTTGCTTCATCAACTTGAGACCAAGGTTTAGAAGGAGCTCGCATACGACGCAGAAACAAACTATGCCATTTCTGTCTGAGTTGTAGCAGCAGACTGGCAGCCTGTAATGAATTTCACCTCTGTTAATAAAGGACTGATTGCAGTTAGAAGAGTCCCCTCACTAAGCAGACAATGTGTGACAGTCTAGAGAGAAATGTGTCCAAAATGTAACATATCTTAGTTTTAAAATTGATTTTTCAGTTTTACTCAATCAAATAGTTTTATTTTCTGGATATTCTTCTCCAAGTTTTCTTCTGAAATAATTTTAAACCACTTATTTTGCTTCTCTATTTAATCATTCCTATGAGTTTTTGCTTATGGAATTCAATTTCCTGAGATTTATTTTTTTTAAATAACATTTTTAATGTAAAATATAAACAAAACATAATATTTCCTGAGTTTTTCTTGTTCCACTTTCTTGGCAGTTCTCTAGTTTTTTTTATTTAGAACCTAGTTTTCATTATTCATCTGTTTTACTCTTATCTTATGCCTTTTTTCTGTTAGCTTCTTTCTTTCCAAATACATGCACTCTTCTGTAACAGTTCGATAAAAGAAAGTTTTAATTGAATGCCTTTCCTTAAAATAGATTTATAACTAGAATGGATGGTGTAAGTAGGAGCTGAGTGTGGACATTAAGTGGAATCAAAGTCTTCCAAGCTGATTTTAAAAGCCTTCTGCACACCTCTACATTCATCAGTATTGGGTCTGGGGTCTTATAAGCTTTTTGCCTTGCAGCCCACACTCCTCATTCTGTTTTAGGTAGAATACAATTTTAAGAGAGCATTACGCTAAAATGCCTAGCTCTTTAGTGTATTTTCACCTGCTCCCTAAACAATTTCTTCCCTCTTCCCCTAAACTCCATATCTCACTATTTTCTATTTTTCCTTCCAACAATCTTTGCCTTTTCCTTCTCCTGCCACTCCAAATTGCAGCCAAACATCTCCTCCCTACAGAACTGGTGCCCGGCTTTGCCAAGAGTGCCTAGTAAGATTCTTTTACTCAGATTTGCCCAAGATTGGCACTTCCCAATCATCATTATTACCACTACCACTCGTTCCCCACCTTCTGCATACTCTAGAATCACCCATGGTAGTTCTCATATTTAGCTCTCTCCACTTTCCCTCTTCAACTCCAGAAATAATCAATTTGCCTCCAAGCTTGCTCTAGCTTCTACTACCACCTTTCCTCAGGCTGTCTACCCTGAGCTGCTGTGCAGCACCACCTAGGGAAGTGGAAGTAGCATACCGTCGGAGTCTGATGCTCAATAAGATTCACTTAATGGTCATGTGTAGATAAAACAGGAAAACATGAAAAGAAGTTTCCTTTATGGAAATGTAGCAGCTACCAGAAGAAAACAGCTAAGACTGTGCATTTTCATAATGTTTTGTTGAACTGCCACACATACACTGCATGAGAACCAACATTTATTTACTGAACAAGTTAAGGGAATTCCTCAAATGTAAGACTCATTAACTTCTGTTCCTTATTTTGCCTTAAAGAAAACTCTGATGTATACATCTACCAGGCTGTTACTTTTATAAAAGATTCTGGTGTAAAGAAGGTGGGTAAACAGATTTTGAAAAGTGACACACACTGGAAAAAAATATAACCCCCACACCGAATCCCAGATTTATAGGGAAAATAATATCCAGTGTTTCTGTATTCCATCCATTTATAATAATTTTTTCCTTACCATCTTACTTTTCAGTTACCTGTATTATTATAAACCAGTTTACAACATCAGGTTCTCATCCTGTATTTGAAAATGTACATCCTTGTACCTATGAAACTCCAAGTGACTGATGTTAATGGGACTCATTCATACAAGTATCTGGCATTAATGGCAGCATAAGGCCATTAATTTGTTGCAACAGGAGAAGCGCATTACATTATATTTATTATTTCAGTTAATTAAGGAGAATGAATGTGGTACAAAAGCCCTTCTATCTTATACAAATATGTGATTTGCAAAAGACATTTAAAAAGTGGTGGGAAAGTTAGCATATTTATCTTTATCTAGGATATGCCTTCACCACAGTTACTCAATCCTTTTAAAAAAATAAAATAAAATAAAAATCTTCCTGTTCATTTCAACCAAGTGTTTCTGTTTAGGTCTCCTACAGATGAGTGGCTTGGTATTTGTGTGTGTTTTAAAGAAAGATGCACTACATTTTTCGACTGCTCAAAATTCTGGAAAAACATTTAAAGACGACAGTAAAGGGAGGAAATTCAAAAAGCAAACTGCACTTTCTCCTTGAAAAGGGGTACTAACTGAATAATTCTACATTACCTACCTCAGGATCCAGTTTGAAATGTAGCCATTCATCTAGCTTCAACGCAGCCAGATTAGCAGTAGTTCTGTCTTCCATCTCGCTATCGCTACTATCATTAGGAACACCATCCACTAAATTAATATAATTCAAAAAATAAAAGTCAGCATTTGTATTAAAATAGTGTACTTGGATTTTAAATATGAAAATTAAATTTCTTCCCCTACAAGTCCGGAAACTTTCCTGTTTAACATTTTCTCTTTTTCCCTTGTACTTCGAATTAAGGTGAAAGTTAATATATAACTGTGTAATGTAGGACTAATGCAACTTCTCACAAGAGTGTGTTAATTTAGAGTATCTACATCTACATCAGTATTAGAGTAGAAAATACACTTTTATTCCTCAAGTCCTATGTGGATCTAATGCTGCTAATCCTGGACAAAAGGCATTCATTTTCCTTCTATTTTCTGTTATTCTTTTATTTACTTTTTAAATAGTATATTTTATTAAAAGTCTAGGATGTTTGATATGGAACAATTAACACATTTTAGATGGCTCCAAGAACCATGGTTTTGGCTTAGACCTGACAACTTATCAAAAATTCATTAAATATTCCTGTATATGCAGCACCGAAGTTCCAATATGTCAGACTATTGTTTGGTATTTGAAAATGTCTAATTCCAAGAATGCTGTACCTCTAAATGAGGAGGGCTCCTGTAAAGCATTACTTGGCAACCGAGCTGGACCACAGAAGAGGGACACAGTGACAGGTGTCACAGTTGAACAGCACCTGATGTTCGCTATTCTGTGTGCTCTAGTCATTTCATCATATATAAGCCAGTCTGTGGGGAGTGCTTGAATTGCTGCAGCTTGACCGTTTGCTGGAGGAATCTGTTAGCAAAAGCAAACAAGGCTCTCATACCATTTATTTGTTAGAGAAGGATCAATTTAAAATAAATTGTTAGAGTTGCAGGGTTGTCCCAGCTGTAAGACTGTGATACAATCCACAAATTAAAAACAATGATACTCCGATTTTTCCGTAAGTCCACAACAAATTCACTTTTCAGTGGTGGCTCATGTCCCACAGAGTTGCAATCTAGGGCACGGGGTCATAGGACCACTTACCATGGACAGACCAAAACTGAGCAGCACCATGAGACCCCCATACAGCAAGGAGAGGCGCTAAATACCATGGGATAGGATTAACTGCTGCAGGGCCCTACAGTCCCCTACTGCAGTCCCTCCCCATGGGCAGATCCCATTTCCCCATCCCTACCCATAACTTCCCCTTACACTCTTTAATGGTATTCCCATTACTACACACACAGCATTTCCTCCCAGGCCTGTGACTTTTAATAAATTTAATGACTGTTGGAATTTTTTTTTTTTAAATAAATATGACAAAACTACAGCCCAAAGAACAAAGACAGTTCAGGATTATAAAACAAGGTACAGTAAAAATTAAAATGTATTATAGTTTTATATTATCATTTTATGGCCAAGTTAAAAACACAAATATCCAAAGAAAATCTAGGGTAATGCTTCAGAGTAGAAATCCTTGTTGCTACAGGTTGATACATCCTGACTGGTCCTGGATGAGAAAATTTGCTAGACCAAGGGAGGTCATTTCTGGCTTCCATACCAGCAGTCTCCCCAGACCTGGCCCAGCCACCAGCCGGAGCTTGCTGGCAGCCCTGCTGCCCTGTCAACTGCACCGGGCTTCCTGGCCTCTCCAGGCAGCCTAGTTGCTGGCAGCCCATTGCACCTGCCGGCCACAAAGCTCCCAGCTGCCAGCTCTCTTCCAGGACTCTCTGGTCTGGACCACTGATGATGTCAGACTAAAGAATCTCAGTTTAGAGAGGTTCAACCTGTATTATTTAATGAGTTTTGAATGCCAGTAAACACCAATAAACCTTCAAAACAACTCCATGACATTTTTGTTTGGTAATCTTGTCTCATTCCCCAAGGTAAGACTACTGTGGTTCTGGTCCAGGTGAAGGTGATTAAACATATACTGGAAAAAACTTTAAAAAAACAACAACAACCACCACCACCACCACGCCACCACCACCACCACTAGTCTAGCAACACCTTAAAGACTAGCAAAGCATGTAGATGGTATCATGAGCTTTCGTGGGTACAACCCACTTCACAAAAGCTCATGATACCATCTACATGTTTTGTTAGTCTTTAAGATGCTGCTAAACTATTCGGTGTTTTTTGAGTTTTTCCAATTACAGACTAACTCGGCTACCCCTCTGAAGCTTTTAAATATATAATCTTTTTAAAACCTAAGCTGGCTCCAACCCATTCAGTCAATTTACAACAACATTTTATTTTCCGGATATTGGTAAATTGTGCACACTTTTTAAAGGAATCAGAACCAAGAGGAAGTCTTTTTTAAATTTTTCACAAACGTAATGAAATCTGTTCTTTCTTGTGGGCTATTCATTCAGAAATGTTACCTTTTTATACTGAGGTTGGCTAAGAACAGAGGTAGGATGAAATCTCACTTTCTTCTCCTTCGGGCCAGTCAATACAAGGTTTTCTCTATCCACATGCACTAAATTAGGGTACATCCCAGCCACTAAAGCACCTTTCACTACAGCCCAATTTTCAGAGTTGGTGTTTACATCTCGAATATCACCACCACCTCTGGCTCTAACAAAACCTAAATGGAGGGGGGGAAAGAAAAAAAAAAAAAAAAAAAAAAAAAGATTACTGCATGTTTTTACAGATTACACATTTTTAAATTTCCATTTTGAGTGAAAATTATTTGTGCTTTATTTTATGAAATCCCACACCACTTATTATAATTTTCATACTCTGTAACCTATATGTATTATTTTCATATTTAATACATGAATTTGGTTGAGAACCTTCAGTTTAGTACTAAACTGCATAAAGAAGTATTGAGAATAAAGACATTGTACAAGTAAGTTATTTAATGAAACAGAAATCCCAAAGAAATATCAAGCCAGATCCTGGACCATTTTAGCCAGAATAATTTAGAATAGCCATTAGGTCACTTCAAGTTACACCATAGAAGCCAAGTCAGTCCACCAGTTAGGCCCAGAAAAGGAAAGACAGATCAGAGCCATCTTCGACTTCTTCTTAAGATCTGTCCCATTCAAAACTCAACCCGATTTAAGAATCAGACTCACTGTGTGTTAGCTCATTTCAAGCTAAACAAGTTTATTTTGCATAATTCAGTCATCAAACTTGGCTTTCTGAATGACAGAATTAATAACTACTACACAAGTAAGAAGTTAGGATGTCCCTGAATTTCATTCTAGTTAAAATATGAATAATTTACTTCATAATAAATATAGTTTCAGAAAAAAAAAATTGATTTTTAAAAATAATTAGTTACCTGATGCTCTGAGCTGACCAAGCAACTGTGTTCTCATTCCTATGATAATTTCCATAGTAGCTTGAGAGAGAAAGTTCTTCTCACAGAAGGCTCTCTCCCAGCCATCACTTCGTGCCTTCTGCCATGCCTGCAGGAAAATATTTTTTTCAAATATCTACAAATGTGTTTAAACTCAAAACTTATATGTGTTTTGTTTTATTTTTAGTATAGCGCAATGTACTTCAATTGAAAACAGAAACAAAAGTCTAAAAGCATTAAGCCTTCTGGACTTTTTTCCTGTTAACAAGCAAAATTCTCTCTATTTCCTCAAATCAATATATCATCTCTCAAAATTATTACTTTCTGGTAATATAAATGTAATTTAAATTTAGAAATAAAAACATCTAGAGTAGAATTAGGTCAGCAAAATCATGCTTTAGAGATTAAAAAATTTTATCACATAACATTACTAATGGGTTCAATGCAGAGAGTCTCTTAGGAAATACTGAAACTCTTTAAAGTTATAGCTGGATGACAAGTCCTTTGTAAAGTGCAACATTACTTTTATATTTAATCTAACTATTGCCATTAATATTCCTTCTGTAGATGAAATAATACCTGGAATGCCCTGAGAAGTGCCATATGGTCACTAAATGTTCCTGCAGTAAAACGTTTTCTACACAGCATGGCTGCACGTTTTTGTGAGGCCTGTGTAGGTAGCACAAAAGGATCTCGATATGCAAGAGTACAAGCAATGGTAAGAATAGGATCCAGGCACTTCAAAACAACAGCACACAACACCATTTTACCAAGGTGTGGCTCTACAGGCAAGTCAGCCAGATGATAACCAAGTTCCGTGAGATCTTCCCAGGTATCCATAGCATCTATTGTCTGATTTAAAAAAAGGGAGAGAGAGAAGCAAGGAAATTTAGCACAGTAGCAGGAAGAGAACACCATTTGAGTAACAGGATTAGCAAAACACTATATCCTAAGCAACATGATCAGACCTGCGTTTGGAATGACTTCTTTATTCCTCCTCCCACTTCCTTCAACCAGAAGGTCAAAAAGGCTACTCTCTCTACAAGTAAGCAGTAGTAACAAGACCAAAAAAAAGTGTCTGAAAACAAAGATGTTGCAGCTATGTATTTGTTTATGTCCCTATTTGCCTGTATAACATGGATAAAGGCTTCAGATAAATTATTGTTAAGTTTGGTGAAGAATAAATCAATCTCTTCCCCTTACGCCAGGTACAGTGTTAGCTCAGTCAGCACAAAGTGAAAGCCTGAACAAGACAACTTTCATTAAGCCACTACCAAGATAAAGCCTCCATTTGGGAACAGTGATCCTCTTGAACTTATTGCCTCCCACCTACAGTAAGGTGTGTGCCAACAATAACAGAAGCAACAACCAAAATATTAACGTATAAATCTATTTAATTTACTCACCTTAAGCATCTGAACAGCATTTCTCACAATTAAGGCTGGTGGAGGATCTGGGGCTTTCATCAAGAAGTCAGCAATTGGACAGTTAATTGGTGCTAGCAATTTTGTGTGCAAACAAAGTTCCTATAAATTAAAAATAAAACTATCTAAGAAAACCTCCAATAGATCAGTTTCTTATACTGAATGTGGACTTTACCTATGGCATGAAATATAGGTCATAAGAGAAAATGTGTAATCAACAAAGCAAATGGATAAAATATTATACCTTTTCGCCACAGAACAATCATCATTAGACATACAGTGAATGCAAAATGTGACAGAGTAACTCTGCATCAAAAATAACGGAATATTCTTTCCAATACTTAAGCACCTACACATTGTGCAAGCAAAACAATTTTGGCCACTTTAGAAGTTTGTTGACAATAGGATCAGTTTCATGGTTGTAGCTGTTATATTACTGTATGGTACAATATATCAATTTAGGAAGCTGATGAAATGAAGCCTCAACTTTAAATTTTAACTATAGGCTCAGATCTTGTAGTTTATTTTCTGTATTATAGCACTGATATTGTTTACAGCCACATTAAAGATCCCTGGAAAAAATATAGTAATTTTGACTTGCTGTCTGAACTATCCACCTACATCTAATACTACACTTGTGCTCCTCCAGACGCACTCCAACTGTCCATCTTGTTTTCTCCTCCCATCCTCCACTTTATATTTCAACTATGAATGATTTGGCTTAAGCTGTTTCCCCAACTGACAGATATCAAGCACACATCTATGTTTTTATATTACTTCTGGAACCCATCTCTGCTCCCACGACACCTTTACATTTTCATGGAACCTATTGAATTACCCCATATAAATATTTTTACATCCCTAATGATGTACTCCAGGCTTTAAATATTCAAGACATGGATCTTTTTTTCAGCACTTGTTTTATAAAGCAATATTCAGACTTAAGGTAAAACAACAGAAAAAAATAATAATTCTCAAGTGAAAATCCACCTGGAGTGGCATTCTTAGAAGTTCTGGAGTCTGAAATTCCAACATATTCTGAAATCGCAGCCTGCTGAAGAGTCGGAAACAAATTCCAGGTCGACAGCGTCCAGCCCTTAGAAACAAAATATTACTTGAAATACAGCTGAGAATTAAATACAAGATGTATAAAAAGAAACTGCAAAGAAATGCTCAGAAAGCAACTCAAAAGATCTACAATCAAATCCATTTAACACTAAGATAAATATGCTCCTTTATTTAAACAAGAAAACTGAAATTTTCCAGGAAAATGAAAATCAAATCACTAAACTGGACAATTATGACTCCACTGCCAGTCCAAAAGAGCAGATAGAAATTCTCCAGGACTACCTGATTTAAATACAAATGGATGTGTCACTCACTTATATTAAAGGTCAGTTCTCATGACTCTGGCAGCAGTCGTGATGGTTTGTGATATACAGGTCAGATTAAATGGTCTGGTAGTTTTTTCTGGCCTTTAACTCTATATTATTCTTTGAGTAAGAAGAGGCTTTGAAGTAGGTAAATGTAATTTTCACTCTCTAAAGTCCCTCTACATTCCCAGAGTAGAACGAAGTGATGCTTGTAATATGAATGAAAACAAGGCCCAAACATTAAAAAAAAAAAAAAAAAAAACCAGCAAGGCCGGGTCTACAACAAAAACTTAGATCAATCTTGCTGCATCACTCAGGGATGTGAAAAATTCAAACCCCTCACAAAAAATAGTTCAGCTAACGTAAGCCCTGAGACAGTGCTAGGTCAACAGAAGAATTCTTCCATCTGCAATGTGGATGAGCCCTAAGAACAAAGCAAATAAGTGAATTTCTGTTTTCATCAGACTTGTATATTAGAACAATTTCCCCCAATACAGAACTCTGGTTAGGTGAAATCTTCTAACATTATTCAAGCCTGATTAGAGCCTCAATGTTTTCCGTGTAGTAGTAATTTCAATATAACAGAGATACAAAGTTTTTAAATTATTTTAATTACATTTGGATGAAAGGAATACATTGATAGGTCACAAGATGGATCATTCACATCATAATACTTCCTATTATAAAGGTAATGGTCTGTCTCCTTGCTACATATATAAAGCATGCAAAGTTGATGTTTGTGAAATAAGATGGCATGTGAAATGTACATTACCTGCCTTTTCTCTGGATGGCACTTGCTTTTGAAATCCACACCATTTTTAGCATGGTAACACAGTTCAGCGCATCAAAGGACTTCTACAATATTAAAGCAGAGTTTATATCACAAGAGCAAGGACTGGATTTAATAGGGTACATTAAAGAAAAACAACAATGAGCAAATCTTAACAAGCTTAATTTAACTACAATAATTAAAGCAATTGGACCTGGTCATGTTTAAAATTAGTCAACTATAATCAAAAGTCAAAACCAAAATCTGTTAAATTTTCTTGCTATCTGTAAGATTATTTTCATTTATAATGTATAGTGTAGCACAGAAAGTGATTTGCATTTCCTCTTGCTTTATCATAGGGTAAAGCATAAACATCTTGTTATTGCACTTTGATCAAATGTTTTTTCTTTGACATTTGTAATTTACAATATTTTCCTAAATTTGACATAAAAGTGCTAAATAGAATTTTACTACATGTTGTGACAACTTAAAGAATGTTATAAAGATTTGCACTCAAGACTCTTCAATAAGTTCAGTTACATGAAACGTATTTGATAACGTGCCAGCAATAACCTTGCCAATAAAGGTTTCCTACAGGTTAACATCTTTCTTAAAATATGCACCACTTCACACTTCCCTGCACTATCTATTTCAGCAATATTAGTCCAAAGTTTATACAACCATACCTCTTTCATCTTGCCAGAATCAATAACAAAAACAACATCATTGACTGTGATGCTAGTTTCCGCAATATTAGTAGAAAGAATCTGCAACAATAAAGTTATTTTGTAGTTACTATAGAAGTAAAGACAGCATGAATCAAAAGTGAACAGCTGAAAAAGTAATTTGATACTTGCTATTTTGCGAATGCCCAGTGGTGGAGTTTTTAGCACCTTCTTCTGATCTGATGTTTGCATATTTGAATGCAGCATAAAAACTTGGTATCTAATGGTAAAACAGAAGTGAAATTGTTTCAGAATGAAAACTTTTTTTAAAATGTTGGGGGAAAAGTATCAGGAATAGAAACCAAAGAATTTACCTGTGAGCATTATCAGCAAACCTCTTGTCATCAAAGAGAATTCGATCCCTCAAGCCAACTATCTCATCATATCCAGGAAGAAAAATTAAAACTGCTCCTTTTAAAAAAAAAAAAAAAAAAAAAAAAAAAAAGGAGGATACAGACGTTACATAGGAAACTCATTTTAATCACAGGAAAAAGGTGCACCAATAATATGTATTTGTAATACACAAAGGACTTACATGTAATACATCAGTGTATTTAGTTACTACACAAAGGCTGTGCGTTTGTCTGAGTCTTCTGCAGTGGCTGGCTCCAGGGATGCCTAAACAAATCAGTGGCCCCAGGGTCAGCCACATGGGCTGTTGCTGGGGCAGTTTGGGTGTGGGAGTCTGGGGTGAGCTCAGAGGAGTGTTTAACACTCCGGGGGAGGGGAGCGCTCCTCAGAAGCTGCTGGGATGTCTCTGAAGCTCCAAACCAGAGGCTATGTTGGGGGCTCCTCCCTATGCTGTCCCCAGAGCTCTCATTGGTTGTAGTTCCCAGACAATGGGAGCTGCAGAGCCAGCGCTTGTGATGGGGCAGTGTATGGAGGAGCTTCCCCAGACTCCCATCCCTTCCCATAGGAGCTGCAGGGCATGCGGATTGCTTCTGCGGAACTGTGGAAAGCCAGGTGGGTAGCCTGCCACCAGCCCTCCTCCTCCTACACCTCCACCCCACCCATACATCCTTGTGCCCCAGGATTGTGCACCCCTCGACACCCACGTCCCAATTTTTAGTTAGGTGTATAAGCACATCATAGACAGATCACAGGCCATGAATTTCTCTTTACTGCCTCTGATCTGCCCATGACTTTTATTAAATACTTTTGACTAAAACTTAGCCTTACTTATTACTATTCACAAAAAGGGTGGTCATTGATATATCTGAAACAAACTTTATCCACAGTAACTCATTAAAACAAAAATATTTTAATTTGTGCTTACCTGCATCACAACTATGACAGATGTTGTAAAGTAAGTGCATAATCAGATCCAGATCCACTTTTTCATCATCAAAACTGTGATGATAAGCTTTCAATAGTTCTCTGTCTTCTGCACTAAGGTCACCACCATTTGCTTGCACTAGAGAACTTTCATCCAGATTTCCAAACTCTAATGAAGCACTGAAACACACACATAAAATAAGCTTAATCCTCAAGCAGCAAGAGTGGAAGCGTGCATTATACTACCAGGCTTTACTGCAGCAATGAATTTAAAAATCAGATAAAAACTAGCAAGTTATCCAGGTCTTATTTAATACTAAAATATTTGAGATGGTTTAGGTAATAACAGAATATTCACAACAGTGGATTAATGTAAAGATTTTAATTATTTAAGTGACAATTCAACTCATACTTAATGAACTGAAATACTGTTTTATTAGGGCCTTAGATGGTTTTAAAAACAAGTGAAATAACCAGACACCCAATTTATCTTTTAAACAATAGTTACAAAATACATTTTTCCACCAACATGTAACTTTAGCCAGTCAAACACTCACAACCACGTTTCTTTGAGTAAGTGGGAAACCAGTTTAACAGTTCTATGATTCTATAGGTGGTGAAGGCCATCAACATCATCCTGATGCAGAGGGTCATCCTCGGTGACGGACTTCATTGTCACTGGTTTTACCATTACAGGCTTCCCCAACTGCAGGGGAGCAATTGACGGTACCCACATCCCCATCCTGACCCCTGATCAACGGGCCCGGACTATATCAATAGGAGGAGATACTTTTCAATGGTGCTACAGGTTGTCATGGACCATCTGGGCCAGTTCACAGACATTTACATCGGGTAATCGGGGAAGGCGCACAATGCCCATGTGTTCAGGAACTCCAGCCTCTTCCACAGGATGCATGCTGGCACATTTTTCCCTGTTTGCACCATCAGGGTTGGGGAAGTGGACATGCCCATGTGCATCATAACCAACGCAGCCTACCCCTTGCTCCACTGGCTAATGAAGCACTACACAGGACAGCTGGACCCCACAAAAGAATAGTTCAACAAAAGGCTCAGCAGGTGCCATATCGTTGTTTGTAGAGGATGCCTTCAGCCACCTTGAGAGGAAGTTCCAGAGTCTCCTCTCTTACCTGGATCTCGGCAACCAGAACATCCCCCAGATGGTGGCAGCCTGCTGTGTGCTCCACAATATACGTGAAAACAATAGAGAGACTTTCCTGCCAGGGGCAGGGGCAGGGGCAGGGGTAGAGCGGCTGAGCCAGGGCTTTGAAGCAGCTGGGCACTGCTGCCATTTGGCAAACTCATCAGGGGGCTGTGCTCATCAGGGAGGTTCTAAGAGTTGCTGAGAGACTCTCCCTCAGGCCTTTCCACAAGGGGCCTCTGCATTGCCGATGTGTGCCTTTCCTCCCACACCCTTCCCTTCCCCTGCCCACCCTTCCCACCTTTCCCCCTTGGTCTGCAGAAAAAAGGACTTTTTGTTTTGAAAAGCAACTGTTATTTTTATATGGGGAATATGTAACAGGGGAGGGATTGGAGAAAGAATCTCAGAGGAGGGAGGGGACACCAATGCCTGCATCAGGTATCTTGGGATACCTCAGCTGCAGGTCCCACTGCCACATGTCTGCAGGCCTCAGAGGCCCCTGGGGGGGCTACGACGAGAAGCCAAAAGGTGGATGCTGGTGCTGGGAGTTGAGGGATGGCAGGTGTGGGGCATGACTGATGGACTAATTGATAGCCACGACCAGGCTCTCCACTGCGGTGGTGATGGAAGAGCACATGGTGTCATGCTGGCGGGGCAGCTGCTGCCAGATCATCCTTCTCAGCTCCTGGTCAGCCTGGCACACCTGGAGCCCATCCTAAAAGTTCCTGTTCAAGGAACAGAGGTCTTTTACTTGTGGCTCTCACGGAGTTAGAAGAATGGTGTGGGAGGTGGTGGATGCGCCACGCTGACAGCTCGTTCAGCTGTGAAGAAAAGTGACAAAGGCAGTCATCCCAGAAGTACATGAAGCCTAGTCCTAATCTCTGAGCCAATACAGAAGGTCTTAGTTCAGATGATGGCAACGTTCTTCAAGCAATGCCATCTGTTGCCTAGACAGCAGACACTTTCCTACAGGGCTACAGAAGTCCCAGGGGAGCCTCACTATCCCCACATCCCGGGGACAAGCAGACATGTGTAGGTGCCAGCCAGGCCAGGAACCTGTGGGTGAGAGGAGGGGACAGGGCGGCTCAGCTTCCTTCTGAATCCCGCACATGCCAGACCAAAAACTAGCAGCATCTTGCAGAGGGACAACTTCTATCCCTGACCACTGGAGAAGGTGGGGAGGATGCTGAGGGAGAGGTGTGTGAGCAGCAGATGCGCCTTGCTGGAGAGCGTGTTAGTGGAGTCCCCTCCTTTTTCTCCCCCCACAAGGTTCCGATGCAGGGGATCGGTGTCCGCTGCATCTCTGAGGTTGAGCGGGAGCAGATGCTGCCCAAGAGTGCAGGCATGAACCTGTAACATGTGCAGCACTACTGTGTTTCCGAGACCCCAGCCTCCTTAGTGGTGGCTTGCGGTGGGAAGGTGTCCTACCACAACTGAGGTTGAGCGGGAGCAGATGCTGCCCAAGAGTGCAGGCATGAACCTGTAACATGTGCAGCACTACTGTGTTTCCGAGACCCCAGCCTCCTTAGTGGTGGCTTGCGGTGGGAAGGTGTCCTACCACAAAGGCTGGAGTAAGGCAGGTCTGTGCAGGAAGCTTGTGAGAAGGACTGAGGGGTTCCTCTGTGAAAGTGTCATGGGGCTGAGAGTTCCTGTCTGGTGCTCCACATGCACGGGCTGCTTTGCGAGCCCCAGGCCAAGGCGGCCAACTGAGAAATACGCAGTCCCTCGCCGCCCACCCCTGCATGTGTATAGGGAAAGTGACAGAACTCACCTGAACTGCCTCCTCCAGCTTTGCCCGAACCCTGGGAGACATCCTGGGAGGGGGGGAAGATGGGCTCCAGGCTGATGACAACCTCATAGCTAGCAGGCATAATGTCCAGGCTGGCCTGTCCTCTTCCTCATCCTGGCTGACCTCCTCCTCCACAGCCCCACCCTCTTGGAGACTGACAGTGGGCATGCCTTGGCCTGAGTCCACAATAAAGGAGGGGGGGAAGAAGTGGCTGGCCCCCCTCCCAGGATGGCATCCAGATGCTCGTAAAAGTGGCAGGTCTGAGGTGCCGCTCCAGAATGGAAACTCTGGTTCCCTGCCTTTGTGTAGCCCTGCCGCAGTTCTTTAATTTTCATCTGCACCTGGTCCTGGATGTGACTGTGCTACCCTCTGGGTCTGGCTCATGTGGTGCCACAAGCCCTTTCCCTTCTGCCTGAAGCTTTAAAGACTGCAGGAGAAGGGAAGGATTAGAGTTGTCAGGGCTGTGACCAGAGTGGTCACAAATGCAGTAGTGGGAGGCCTCTGGAGACCAATTATTTCAAAACAGCATTTGAGCGTCCACACTAACCCTATTTCAAAATAACAATTTCAAAGTAGGCATTATTTGAAATAATTTCAAAATAATGGGCTTGCTATGTGGGCTCACCTTGTTATTCTGAAATAAGGATAGTTATTTCAAAATAACTCCCCAGTGTAGACATTCCCCTGGAGACATTGTAATAAACGCTGAACCCAAGGGGAATTGACTTATTCCAGAAATTCAATATCTGCACCTGTCTGTTCTGAACTATAAAGGCATGGCATGCAGCTCACAAATTCTCTCAAGTGCAAGAATTGGTTTTGTAACCTCTAATGTGAGAATACTTATCTTGAATCATTTGTGGTTTTTATTGGCTAACTGATTATAACAGCTGGATGAAGAATTATAGGGGGACATTCTTTTGCATTTCAATTCCAATATTTCCTTTTGAAGTATTTGGAATTTTCCATTAAGGTCTGTATTGGGATGAAAAAACTGGATATCATCTGTCTTATAGAAAGTGTTAGCCTTTTTACATGATCATGTGAGATATCTAGGTATTTCTTGCCTATTTCAGCAATGAATGGTCCTGTTGTACCTTAAGAGACTTTGGGAAATTCCATTGGATTCAGACTTAAAAATCTTAGCATCCTGGAAAATTCTGAAATATCTACAAGTCTCAGAGGGGTAGCTATGTTAGTCTGTAACTAAAAAAACCCAACCTTAGAGACTAACAACAAAATACAGATAATATCAAGAGCTTTCGTGGGCAAAACTCACATCTTCAGATGAATGGCGCAAGGAGAAAAGTGGGTTGTGCCCACAAGCTCATGATACTATCTATATTTTGTTGTTAGTCTCTACAGTTTGTTGTTTTTGGTAGGTTTTTTTTTTTTTTAAGTTACAGACTAACACAGCTACCCCTCTGAGACTTTTAAATATTTCAGCATTTTCCAGGATGCTACGATTTTTAAGCCTGAATCCAATGGAATTTCTTAATTTTGTAGTTGAACAATTTACTTTCACCCCCATCGAGACCTTTATTAACTTAGGCAAGATTGGGCAAAATTGTCTAAAATTCAGCTCCTATGGCCATGTTTAGGCATCTTGGGTATTGGTCTGATTTTTTTCAAAAGCACTGAGTACCCAGGAACTCTTTTAAAGAGCTAGCACTTCTTCAATTCTGAGAAATCCTTAGGATGCCATAAAATTCTTAAGTAAAAACTTTAATCTTCCTGCTTGCTCTTCTACCAGTTCACTCATGAGGCTGCTCATAGTCCCAATCAGATTATTCAGGTCACATTCAGGCAATATTCTTTCTTGAGTTATTTTGACATCATGCAAGAGAATGAATTGAACTCTTAACATTTTTGCCAATCTTGGTCTTTCTCTACATTGAAAACAAGGACTGACAAGGAGTTTTTCTGTAAGGGGGCTCACTGATGCCATACGGGATAAAAATAATGGATTCCTGAGCTGCGTCAGCTGTTCCATCACTGAAGGACTCAGTGAGTGTTTAATGGGTGATCCTTATGGGTTTCAAACCATCAGTTTAACAAGTAAATTAAAAAAACCTCCCCCACCTGAAAGCAAAAGGGAAGGAAAAGCAAAACAAGAGACTTAAACAGAAAGAGAAGAACTTTAACATGCTATCCAAGCAGAAAAGCAAAGACTGAGTATGTCTTACAGTTTCAGGGCTTTCAAACCAAGCGTTTGAACTGCTCTTGGTTTCTACACAGAGTCACCCAGCAATGGGGAATGCTACAGTGTACGTATTTGAAATACATATTAAGCCACCTTGTACTATTACAGGAGGTATATTTTTTTTTAAGTGAGAATATCTTCTGGAGTTATACATGATTTTGCTAATTGGCTCTTTGTGCCAGATTTTAGAAGCTAGAGAACTAACAATGTTGTATCCATTAAAGATATGCATTAATATAAAGGGCATTTACATGTTGAATAACTGTTTCAGCAAAGCAGGAATATCTTACCTGTAAGATTCCAGAAGATCTACAATCTCAGTCTGTCCAAAGTGTTTAGCCCAATCTAAAGCCATCCTGAAATAGTTATAAATCTTTACTGTCTCATTTTAGAACTAAAAATACTAACGTGACCTTATAATAAATCAACTACAGTTTCAATACACCCCTTTATTGAACACTTGTTAACATCTTGCGCTCTCATCAATGTAGTATTCACTGGATATATGTTTTCACACTTGGAAGCATATGATATCCAAAGAATTCCCCACAAAGTAAATTTGACAGCTCTGTGCAAGAGAAAATACCAACAAGCTATAATACAAAATAATTTTACTTCTTCAGCTGAAAGACAAACCCATGTGGAAGACTAAGTTAAACTTAGTATGTTCAGTGCATATGGAAGCCCTGGTCTACACTAGGGAGTTATTTTGAAATAACTCCTTTTATTTCAAAACAACAAGCAGAGCGTCCACACATTTTTAAATAATGGGCTGGTTATTTCAAAATAATAATTCCTGTTTTCCATGAGGAATACTTCTTACTTTGAAATAGTTATTTCAAATAGCAATAATGTGGACACTCCACTGCTGCTATTTCAAAATACAGTAAACTTCTGATAATCCGGCACCTTTAGGACCCAGGGGGTGCTGGATTATCAGATATGCCGTACTATCAGAAGGGGGGGCTATGAGGAGTCTGGGGTGGGAGGAATGCCACTCCAGACCCCTCTTAGCCCGATAGTCCAGCTCTGCCCCAGGCATCCCCGATTTGGCCGATGCTGGTCAGTTTCAGCAGCGGCTGAATCGGGGAAGCCAGGGGCAGAGCAGCTGGGGTGCTGCCAGGTTGGTCCGGTAGCGTCGCCCCTCGGCGCTGCGGGACCAACCTGGCAGCACCCCAGCTGCTCTGCCACAGGTGTCCCCGATTCAGCCGCTGCTGAAACTGACCAGCAGCTGAATCGGGGAAGCCAGGGGCAGAGCAGCTGGGGTGCTGCCAGGTTGGTCCGGTAGCGTCGCCCCTCGGCGCTGCGGGACCAACCTGGCAGCACCCCAGCTGCTCTGCCACAGGTGTCCCCGATTCAGCCGCTGCTGAAACTGACCAGCAGCTGAATCGGGGAAGCCAGGCGCAGAGCAGCTCCAATTGTCCGGCTGCCCCAAGCACTTCAGGGTTTCTGATGATGCCGGACCATCAGGAGTTCCGGAGCATTGGATGACTGACTAATGGAGTTTTACTGTAACTACTCCCCAGAGTGATTCAAAGTAATTATTCCCCAGAGCTTCCTGGGGCTCTAAGTTGCGATAGTGTGTCCACATTAAGGGAGCCTGCCTCCGACTAATTTCAAGGCTTCCCTGTAGCGTGGACACATTATTTTGAAATAGTTATTTGGAAGTTATTATTTCAAAATAAATTAAGAGATTCATATGTACAAAAATTTGGTTTTTACAATTAAGATCTTTGTTTTTTACCTCCTCATAAGGCCAACTATATTGTTTCTGATATCAGTATCAGTATCTGCCTGATATAAATCCACTGGTAGACCAAGTCCTACTTCAATTTGTATTACAATGATCTACCATCATCTTAAGTTATCTTTCCTAATAACTAGAACAATGAATTAATGGCTACAGATGGCTGAAAAATCAAGGTTATTCTATTTCAGCGGTCACCAATCAGTAGATTAGGATCCACCAATTGGGATCTTGCAGCCTCTGACAGGTGATCCTGACTGGTTTGGCCAGGTAGCTATCAAGTGCTGGCACTTCAGTTGCTCCTCCATCCACTGTCATGTTGCTCCTGTCCCCTGCCTTGGAGCTACCCAGCAGGAGCCTCCAACTTGCTGTGCAGGGTGTGGGAGGGAGAAAAGGGGGGCACTGATGTCAGGGTGACCCTCCTCCCCCCACCTCTGTACCCTTTCTCTACCCAGAGAGAAGGGGATGGAGGAAGCTTGACAATGCAAATCTTTGTGTGTGTGTGTCACACTCACACTCACAGTGAGAGAGTGAGTCATTCTCACAAACACACAGTCCTTCCTTCTAATCTCCTGACACGACAACACACGAGGGGGGTTGTTGTTACTTCTGTTACTGCTTGCAAAGTGTTATGTTTGTTTTTTTACTGGTCTGAACATTTCATCATTTTCATTTCTTTTACACTTAAATTTATTCTTTGAGTAGTGAGTTCTAAAATGCTTAACCTATCCTGGCTAGAGTAATTATCCCTGTGGTAATTGCTGATCCTGGAAGTGGCTGGCATGTCTCACCAGCCTCTGAGAAAGGCAGAGCAGGGGGGTCTCCAGATGTGTCCTGACCTGCAGACACCACTACTGCAGCTCTCACTGATCAATAATGGGGAACTGTGGCCAGTAGAAGCGGGGCAAGGGTATTTGGGTTTGGTCTTACATTGCACTTAAATTGAAAAAGTGATCTTGTGGTTAAAAAGGCTGTACCACAAATCATTCCTGAAGAGAAAGAAGGTCAGAATAGTGTGTAATCTCTTTTCAGTCATGAATACAAAACTCCCCTTTAATACAAATGGAAAGCATTTTGGTCCTGGTCCACTGCCTATTGAAATAAATGGAAATAACTATGTTTACTTCAATGGGTTCTGCTTTAACTCTTAGAAACAGAAGCCATATGCCAGTGCACTTAAAAACCATTCCAAAGCAAAGATTCTACAAGTAAATATTTTGAAAAAGTTTTGAAATTAAGAAATGACACTAGGCAGATAGAGTAAAGAAAACAGGGCAGAATAAAAAAACTACAGTTTGTCAAGATTAAGATAATACCAAAATACACAATTATTTCTGGTTGTAAACAAAAAGCTTGCCTACTTAGAAAATGTAAACAAATTATATGTTGAAAAAATGCAAGTGATTTTTTACCAGCCATTAGATGATTTGCTGTGGACATTCGCTCCCATTCCAATGAGCTGTTCTACCTGACTTAAGAAACCTCTCCCTGAAGCAACCATTAGTGTAGTTGCACTGGTATCACTGTGTCTGTAATCAACTAATAAGGAAAAATTAGAACATTAGTGTTCTGGGCAAAATGGAAATTCTTTAAGCAATGCTACTGACTCCTCCAAACATTATGTTTACCAGTCTTGCTAAATTCCACCCACTGAGGGAGAGATTAGTTTTTTGGATAAAGGAGAAAAAATATTTATTTTTCCATCATTAAGTTTATGAGGATTAACAACGTACTACACAAACCAATTCTATTAAAAAATGTGTATACTTCAAGAAGACTATAATAATAACCAATAAGGATAAAAATATTAATTGTACAGATCTTAAATCAATTCTCAAAGAGGTATTTTAATGTAAAAATAAACAAAATTGAAAAACCGGTCGATGCAGAATTCACAATACTTTTAACTTGTTTCATTATTTTGTAAAGCCTATGTAAGAAACTCTGCATCCCAGTAAGAAAGATAAGTTCACTAAGGTAAGAGAAACCTACCACTGACATTTTCAGTTAAGATAAGGTGAAACACCTGAGCAAAGGCATCGACATCTTTATGCAACCATATATCAGAGAGACAAGAATCCATTTCTTTTATTAGCCATGGTTCCAGGCAATTCACATCTTTTTCAGTCTGAAAAAAGATAACGGACTTGAAAAACAAAATGTATTTGAATCTTCTCTAAATCTACTAATCTAATGTTTTACATTCCACACACACACACACACACACACACACACACACACCCTCCAACTCACCCACCTCTCACTATTTTAATAATATGGTACTAGAAGAATCCACTACATTATCACAGAAATTGGAATTGTGGCATACAAAAGTCACATTTCCTCAAATAAAATTATTATTAAAGAGAAAAGAATAGTAAATGTGGGCGCTTTGTGTAAAATAGGGTAAGATCTAATAGAGTTAAATCATTTTCACTAATCTGTAAAAGAATGGAAGAAAATATTTTAAGTAACAACTGAAATAAAAGCTTTTCATTTAAAAGCATTTTTGTTATTCTAAAAAACCTCCATATCAACAATTTCACTATTAACCCATTTTCTACACTTACTAAACACAAAACTGTAAACATCACTACCTCTAAACATGCAAATATATAATCTTACATGTAAACATATACTTGTAGTTTATGTTCAATTCAGTTCTTTCCTAAATATCACACAGGAAAATCTGTCACAAACACGTTTCGGAGCTGAAAGTTTCTCAGATGATCACACACAGAATATTATGACCAGAACTCAATTTCACTTTATCACTCAAGACTGAGACACACACCCATTAAGACTAAACTACAAACAATTCCATCTAAATTAAACTAATTTGGAACTGCAAAGATGTTGTAAACAAAGGTGCCTTCACTTTGCAGCAGTTGCCTGAACAAGACATTCGTTCCCTCCCTACTACTGCTTATAAAGGAACAGTCCCTTATCTATCTATATATTTTAGAAATGTGCATCTGTCTGTCTGAGTCTGTTTATTCAAGAACTTCTAAATGGTAAGAGCTAGGACCAGCAAATTTGATATACAGCTTCCTCTTCTTTTATCTTAAAGTAAGATCAAGATTTGGCTGTGCCAGGAAAATGCAATCTGCCTGGAATGAGCCTGCACTCTCCACCCCTCTACCTCCTGGGCCAGGACCTTCCGCCCCAGTCCAGCGCCCCCTAGGACAAGCTAGCAGGCAGGGTGCACAGTCCCCCTTTCCTACCGCATGGCCAAGCTAGCAGGCAGGGTGTGAACTCCACCATCCCAAGCCCAGGAGAAGCCAGAAGGCCGGTTGGATAACCCCTGTAGCCGGGGGAAAAGTCAGCAGGCGAGGTGCGAGGTCCCCACTGCTTCTCCACCTCTACCCCCCGAGCCCTTCCTCACCTCCCCTCACTCTTGCACCTCCCCCAATCCCCTGCCATGAGCTCAGCCCCCCACTCTGACTCCTGACCCCCATGCTTCCAGCCTCCTGGCCTGATCCCTCCACATCCTGAGGCCCTGTCCTGACTCCTGCACCCCCACACTGCCAGCCCCCTGCCCTGAAGGACCCAGGTAACTCTGGATCAGTCTTCTATTTTTTTATATATACAGAAGTGTAAGACTTCTGTGATATTAACTAATCAAATGCTTTGGTGATAAGCATTCCCGCTTGTCTACTATATATTAAGCAAAAATGATAATTGCATGATAGGTGCAAATTTTTAATCAAAAATATCTTTAATTGGTACTTTAATACATTTGTCAAGACGGTCTTAAATTTGAACTTATTGCATTTTTCATCAAATAAATTCTGTTAAACATTTAGATAAGTAATATTATTTAAGAAGATTAGCTAAATATGAACATGAAAGATTATCAGTAAATGGTTCTTACGGACCATTGTTTCAAGGACTTCCATATCAGCTTAGCTTAGTTTACAACAAAGAGAAGATATTTTCCAGTACTGACAGTTCTGCTTGAACTCTGAAAGGGATGGGTCATTGCCCAGTATAATTGTTCTATCACTGAAACAAGTATGACTTAGAAGAAAAAGAAGAAAGCCTGTTGAGTAAAGATTTTTACAGTCACTTTTGAGACCATAATATTTTAATATTCATTTACTGTTCATAGCAATCTGAGGTCTTCTGGAAAATATTCACTCATTCCTGCAACCAACAGATTAAAAAACTCAGACTACCAATATAGATACCAGATATTTGATCATTCAGTTCTGACTAAAAGAAAAGCATACCAGTTGACTGAATACTGTGTCACCACCATCATCAAGCAAGTCATACTCTTCAGCCACACTTGGAACAGTTCTCTGTCTCTGAGATTCTGGTTTGCTAGTGTCATCTTGAGCGGAATACCATTCTGTAAGAGTTGTTTGCTGTTTCTCTTCTAAAATATCGATAATTTTAATAAAGCACTAATAAGTAACCGTTTTATTACCTAATACTTTCATATATTAATAAGTTTAAAATTGTGTTGGGAACATTACCATACATACTGACCAAAACGCATAAATAGAAACAAATATTGTACAGGCAGTCCCCGAGTTACACGGATCCGACTTATGTCGGATCCGCAGTTACGAACGGGGCTTGCTGCCCGTCTCCCTGGTCTGCTGGAGACCAACAACCCAGGGAGACGGGGAGCAAAGCAGAGCAAAGCCGCGGAGCACGCGGGCAGCAGACAGCCCAGACGCGCCGCGGCTGTCCCGCTGCCGGTGTCCTCAGAGGCTTTGCTTCCCGTCTCCCTGGTCTGCTGGAGACCAACAACCCAGGGAGACGGGGAGCAAAGCAGAGCAAAGCCGCGGAGCACGCGGGCAGCAGACAGCCCAGACGCGCCGCGGCTGTCCCGCTGCCGGTGTCCTCAGAGGCTTTGCTTCCCGTCTCCCTGGTCTGCTGGAGACCAACAACCCAGGGAGACGGGGAGCAAAGCAGAGCAAAGCCGCGGAGCACGCGGGCAGCAGACAGCCCAGACGCGCCGCGGCTGTCCCGCTGCCCCCGTGCTCCGCGGCTTGGCTCCGGACGCCTGTGGTACAGCAGCTGGGGCGCTGCCGGTTGGTCCCGTAGTGCCGCTCTGGGCGCTACTGGACCAACCCGGCAGCACCCCAGCTCCTCTGCCCCAGGAGTCCTGATTCAACCTTGAAGAAGGTTCAAGCCAGAAATGATCAGGACAAAGTACTATTAACTGTAATGGAACAGGAGTTCCAAGGAGGGATGTTAAATAGCAAGTAATTGAATAGTCGTATCAGAGGCAGCAACGCAACGTGGCAGGCGGGAGCCAGTCTGCGAGGGATCTGTCCTCAGGGAGCTCAGAGGTTGCTGCCGTGGAGCAGCCTCTGTCCATGGCAGGCCCGGGCTTGCTGCAGACAGAAGCGACTCAGTGGGATGCCAGAGAAGCCTCTGTCTGCAGCGAGCTTGGACCCCTCGTGGACGGGGCTGCTGCTGCAGAGCAATCTCTGTCTGAGGTGAGCCCAGGCTCTCCATGAACAGAGGCTCCCCTGCCCCCCTTCACACTGCTGCAACTGATAGAGGCTTTTAAGCCTCCTTCCCCCATCCCTGGCTCCTCTCCCCATCCCCGCCATCTGCCTCTGTAGGAGCCAGTGGGGTGGGGGGAAGGGAGAGGGAGGTCTGTGGAGCCAGCACACATGGAAAGCCAGCTTAAAAGTTGGCTCTCTGCATCAGCTCCTGCCTGCCCTCCTCACACTCAACGCTGCTGCCTCTCTATTAGATAATGCTTATCGGTTAATTGTGTAGTCGTCTACACATTGATATCCCTAGTTCCAAGTAAGGAATTACTACAAAAAGTTTCTTGAAAACTTTTGAAATGATCAAGCAAAAGGAATTAAATGGCTCCTAGCTCAGGTGTCAGCAATAATTTTAGATTGGGGGGGGAGGGAAGGAGGGCCCCACTTCAGAAATTTTTGAAGTTGCCCTGGGCCTCCCCGGAAGGGGCGGGACCTCAGGCAGAAGGGGTGGGACCAGGACACTTCCATGCTTTCCCACCCACAGACCTCGATTAGCCTGGAAGTGTGGGGAGCACATGAAGTCTTTGCCCCAGCTCAGAGAGAACTGCTTGCTGTTCTGAACTGCTGGCAGGTCCCTCTAGGCACCCATGCCCCTGGCAACTGGAGGAGACTTTGCACGCTCCCTCCTCCTCTCCACCCACCAATCAATCAGGGCCTGGGGATGGGGCGAGCACAGGAAGTCTCTTGCTCCCTGCCTCTGCCTTACAAGGAGGCACCATGCTTAGCGTCAGCTGCCAGTACCTCCTAGTATTACTGATGATGAATTATCTGGGGTTCTGCTCCATTAGAAACAGAAAAAAGGGGAGGGGGGGAAACGGAAAAACATTCACCAAGTGGGAAAAAAAAGTTTATTAAAAAAAAAAATCAGGAAATTATTTCAAGTTATTACAAAGTGTAAAACAAAAAAGTAAATAATTTAGGGATTATATGGGATCCACTGAAGTTTGTAATGGAAACAAAACAGATTTCTGAACAAAAATGTTGTCATGTTTTGCTACTAAAAACAGTTGCTATCAATGTCTCCTTTCTCCCCATCACAAAATAAGTACACCAACCTCGCAGTTTTTCTTTTTTGTATTTTACCATCTCTTTATTTGAATATCCTGTACTTCGTAAGAGGTCTTCAAGAAACATCTCCTTAACTTCATATGGTCTTCCTTGTACTGAAATTATAAATTGTTCATCTTTAGAATTTTTAGATTTTCCTTGCCTCCATTAGTTATCCTTACATGATGGAAATAAATGCATCTGCTTTTGGTATGGAGAAGAAAACGATTTCTACAGAATTCTAAAGGCTATTTTAAATATTCAATAATAATTTTTATTTAACTTTGGTAAGAGTACTGAGTCAACGGATGTGCATTTTACAAAAATAATTAAAATACCAATTGGGTGCTTTGTCTTTTTAATCACTTTAAATTTACAGGGCGTTTGTGTGAAGAAGAAATGTGCATAGATAGAGAATAGTTCATTTTCATAAAGCTTCAAAAATTAACTCAGTCATGGTCAGGCTAGCCAGATGAACTTTGATGCTAATTGCCGTTGTCAGACTGATAAACAATGATACTCACGCATCTTAAAAAACCAAACAAACCAACCCAGTGAATTAACTTTTAAATGAAAGTGTAATAGCTCACCAGAGCTCTTAAAAAAAACATTGGAAATTCTAAGCCTGTTTCTCAACAATCTAAAATGAACCTATTTTGACAGGAAGAAAACTAGCTCTAAAACTTCATCCCTTAACTTCTAAGCCACTCTTCCTAAAATTAGAACTGAAAGTCAAGTGTGGAAAAGCAGAGTTGACCACTGTGAGCCAAAGAATGTTTTCAGCCACTATCAGTCTGAGATTCCCTTATGAAGAGCCTCCTGCTTATGAATACAACAAGGAGTCCTGTAGCACCTTATAGGCCAACAGATGTATTGGAGCATAAGCTTTTGTGGGCAAAGACCCACTTCATCAGATGCATGTAGTAGAAATTTCCAGAGGCAGGGAAGAATCAGGTTAGAGATAACAAGGTAAATTCAATCAGCGAGGATGAGGCCCACTTCTATCAGCTGATCTGGAGGTGTGAACACCGAGAGAGAAACTGTTTTTGTAACTGGCTAGCCATTCACAGTCTTTGTTTAATCCTGAGCTGATGGTGTCAAATTTGCAGATGAACTGTAGCTCAGCAGTTTCTCTCTGAAGTCTGGTCCTGAAGCTTTAAATCTGCTATTGTGTGTCCAGGGAGATTGAAGTGTTTTCCTACAGGTTTTTGTACCGTATTTTCCGGCGTATAAGACGACTTTTGATGCTAAAAAAACATCCCCCAAAAATCGGGGCTCGTCTTATACGCCGGGTATACAGGCGGCGGGGCCTGAGCCCCTCCGCGGCTTTGCAAAGCCTCGGAGGGGCTCGGGCTGCC